AGTTGAACTTGAGAACAACTATGCAACCATCTCCTGCCACATCATCCTGCTTTAAACAGTCACTAAAACCTCTGGTAATTGTAATTATATCTCCAAAAATGTTGACTGAATTGTTTTAGCCTGGTAATAGATCCTTAAAGAGGTCATAATATGGTTTTTTCTCTCTCCTTTATTGAGTTCTATACATTTTTGGTGTATGTAATAGGTTCGCGAAGTGAAAAACCCCAAAGTCCAGCCCAAAAGGAGTTGCCTGAAAACAGCTTGTTTGTAGTCCAGCCTTTTCCCTTTGATCCCTGTGACGTCACAGCAAAAAAAGTTATCATAATGCTCGCCAAGCGGCTACTCTGACATGCTCTCAAAAACACCGGTGGAAAAACACTGAGCACACAGTGACATGACATCCGCCTGTTTCCTGTCCTCTCCCTTCCAAACATTAGCTACCATCAAGGCAGTCAATCGACATAAAGTTGTTACTGTGATGTAGAGACAGTGCTTAGTTAAAACTTAATTGATGAAAGATACATCTGTTACAAATTTATAACTCACCACTCTGAAACGCTAGCTTCAATGTTGCTGAACAGCTGAACTGAAGCCCTGTTTACTGGCTTCTCTAAGACCCACCCTACTCTGCTTCTGATTGGTTAGTATTCCTTAACTAGGACCTGCGCATGTGCAACTCCCAACAAAGATCATGTAGAGGTAAGATGGATCACTCCATAGATATAACGAAGCCTTTAACACACAGGGTGAAAAGAGGAGCTGCAGCAATTTGCAGTATGACAAAATATTTTGAAAGTGCCAGTTTGCTGAAATCAGTGTATTCAGCAGACATGAAGACATTACAAAATTACGAGCACAAAATACAAGAAATAATGAGGATGGATTAAAATAATGAATGGGCCAAAAGAAATTACGCCCACCTCTCATACAGGGGAATTGTATAAAAAGATGAGGGGGGAGGGGCAACAATAATTTATAGTAGGGACCACAGTAGAAGAAATGGAGGAGGCCCTATGAAGTTGGAGGTCCAACTTCAAAGTCAAAAATAAATTGTAACCAGATATATTTTGTGTGAGTACACCAAGAGAATAAGAGATAAAGGCACATATGACCCTATTACACAGATAAATATATTCTCTACTCTCTGTCCAGTACAGCAATATTTAAGGATTTTTAATACATTCCAACTCAACACTATCTGTGCTCATTATTATCATGACTACTTTTTACTATTTATTATTACTTATTATCACTTTATTATTTTTATTATTATTATTATTATTTATTATCACTAAACTTATGTCATATAGCATACCGTAGAATATTGTACATTTTCCGCAATCTTATTTATATTTTATATTTATTTTATAGATTGTTTACTTCTTTATATTCTATTTACCAACTTTTTATGTTTAGTTCTATCCTAACTGTGACTCGAGAATTTCCCCTCGGGGGTCAATAAAGTATTTCTGATTCAGATCTGAAACGGAATCATTCAATGTGAGTAAGTATTTGACTCTTATAACCTCAGCTGTGAACCTGCTGTAAGTTTCATTGCTCCTTGCTTTTGTGTGGAACCCTGAGAGATTGGCAGCCATGCAGAAATCAGTAGTCATGGAAATGGTGGATAATAAGGGTGAAGGACTTGCAGCTAGCTAGTGGGGTCAGGGAGATCACACTCGAGGTAAACAACTATCTCTCATCTGTCTGCTGTTAAGCTGTGAAAAGCATGACAATCGGTTCATGCTCTATGTGCATGTACTCTGATAGGTCACACATTAAAGGGGAAAAATGAATAAATGAGTGAGAAACATAATGAATGCAGCTACTTGTCTGTACTAAGACACAAATGTACAAATGCCCTTTTCTGAGATTGCACTTCCTTTCTCTTTCCCGCCTTCCACATCTCTGTCCTGTGCATGTTTTTTGCCTTTATTTTGATAGGACAGTGGATAGAGAGGAAACGAGGGAGATGGGGTGACACGCAGCAAAGAGCAGCAGGCTGGATTTGGACCTGTGGACATGCTCTACCAAGTGAGCCGTGCCCCCCTCACATTTTTATATACTGAAAAATTGCACAGTCCAAGTGCGCATCAGACCAATATACACTTTAGCATTTTAACACTTATGCGCGTAACATTTATTCTTGACATTATATTTTATATTTCCTATTTTAAATTTGTTTTACTCTCATTTTAATTTAAATTCATCATTGCCTTTTTTTATTTTTAGCACAGCCTCAAAAGTACCATCCTGTTTTGTATTGCAAGGATTATGAGCATGTGACAACAATCTTGAAATACAGGCATTTGTACACGTGGGTTTATTTTTGTGCATGTATATACTGTAGTTAAAGTATCAAAAGTAAAAGCATGCAAGCTGTATTTTACTGATGTAGCATCTCAAGGTGAGGTTTTATTTACTTTACATAGCCTACAGGTAGCATGTTTAGTGCAGTGGTTCACAACATACAGTTAGGTTCCCTCATAATGGCCACCAGATAAATCTGAGGGGTCATGAAAACACAAAGTTCTCATACACAAATCTGTACTTTGCTTTATTTATTGTGAAATATTGGATTATTTGACATCTTTGGGCCAAAAACAATCTTTTAAATGAAAAAACTCGAAGACATCTGAACCATGAGAAGGAGACACAACTACACCTGATTTCATGTGAGAGGTGTGGAGCCATTATTGGGTTACTCTTTTGAAATATTTGTTCAGTTTTGATGACATCGTTGTTCGTTGTCGGTTACAAGGGGATAATGTCAATTTATTTATATATTTTCTATCATAAATCATTTTGGTAGGTTAAAAGTGTCCGTACATTGAGGCCTGGTTGCCAATATGACAACCTGTTTTCACTTTTTTTTTTTTTACCATGTTCATCCAAGGAAATAAAAGGTGTAACAATACGACAAATGTAAAAACACTACTGTAACATTGTCATAAAAAAAATCATAATTTAAACACATTCTCAACTGTAATTTGGTATTTAGCATTTTTCATTACCACCCAACCAAGACATAAAGTCACTAATTTCACTATTTACTATTTTCTGGAATATTTATCCTAAAATGTAAAGTTGCATGAAAATACATGTAGTGAACCACAATGTGCTTTCTACTTCTGAATTCAAAACCATGCTCTTGTGTCTGACTGTAGTACAAACTCTCAATGTAAAATATTGGAATATTTTGTACCCTAAAGAGCTGATTTGGCCATTTAAAACACAAATTCTCTTCTTTCTGGCCCCAGAGAGACGTTCCTCTAAACGTAGTGTACCAAACTGTTGCACCATTGTGTGTCTTCAGATGTTCTTAGGTACACAGTGAAGAAGGGCACAAATATCTAAAAATATATATTTATATGTATGAAAAAAAAATAAAGTGCATAATAAGCAGTCCAGACATAATCTTCAGTGCTATAAATTGCCTTAAACATGTTTGTGTGCGTGATGTTACCAACTGTAAGATCAAAAGTGGAAGTATCTTTATTTACACAAACCAATGGCAACATCAATTCCATGTAACAGCTAAAAATTCTTCTTACTTCCATTTTCAAAATAGTCCTGCTTCCTATGAGGCAACAGCGGCTGTTACAACACCTGAACACTTGAGAAACAGTCCAAATGTATAATCTGTCGATGCAAGATTGTGAGTAAGGCCATGGATTAAAGTACCTTTGAATAAATCGGAAGTGATTAAAGAGTGATCCAAATGATTTCATAAGTCTAGTCTGTGTGTGTGAGGCATCATTTTAAATCTGTGACAACAGCAAACAGTGAACATGAGCCGTCTATGGTAGGTTCAAAGAGGGTCAGAGGCATATGTGGAGAGGAGGTGTGGTTGTGTTGCGACCACTGTGACCTCTTTTCTTTTGTGAATCTGGGTCACCTCATGTCTTACAACAACATATATGTAATCTCTGTTTCAATTTACAGGACAGTGGGTTAATGGGTTCCACTCAAACCCATAGTACAAGATTTCACCTGATAAAATGGCAAAATGCTCAATCTGTTACATTATACTATTATGTTTCAATTGTAACTGTAAAATGCACAAAACTGCAACTAACCTGAATTCATTCATATTTTGTTGTTTTCCACAGATGTCTCTCTGAGAATAAAACATGTAAAAATAACTTAATTGCAAATCCAATTGTATTTCAGGAAATTGAATATCAAATGGATTCATTGCTAATTGCAGTGAAACTATTGTCTCTTCCAGGAGTTTAACTATGGAAGCCCATTTCAGCCTAGTGTGATGAAAAACAAAAAGATCCTGTATGTCAAGTCACTTTCTCAAAATAATGACGTATCTCAAAATAATTAGATTAATGACTTTCTCATTATTTTGAGACATAAAGTCGTTATTTCAACTTACAGGATATTTTTTTTCATCACATTGGGCCAAATTGCCCTTTCATATTTTGTTAGCACCAAAAAGGAAAACAATCTTTTTCAATGCCCTACATTTCTCACAAGCAGGTCAGTGGAGCAAAATAATTGGATTCCTCACACAGTAGCCAGTTGTACAAAGATTTAGTCTTTTCGTTTACTGATCCAGCTGTGGGCTGTAAAAATCGTTTTTTCCCCCCATACAGTCTATTATGACCCATTTTCGTAGCCTCGCAAGAGCATTCAGTAAATGTTCTGAGCGTCAGAAGCACGACTAAAGGCCTACTTGTAACAACCAAATAACGTAGCGTCAGTTAGCCTAGGTCACTGAACGATTACAATTTCCTCGCTTATAGCATCACAATCCCATTTCTGATAATGTAGTTACATCTACTAAAGGACAACCGAAAAGGAAGTGCTGAATTTATTGCAGTCAAAGGTTTTATGTGTATGGAAGTTCATTTTCCCTTCTTATTCATGTTCCTCCCTGCGACCTTGTACGCAGGATAAGCGCTTGACGATGGATGGATGGATGGATTCATGTTCCTTATAAAACCAGCAGATTTCGTCATTGCTTTATAAAACTCATGAAACAAACAAAGTTTTTCTACTCATTTTATTTTTAGCATATAGAACATCTTACATATTTTAAATATGTGTTTAGAAGGACTTTTAATACATTCTATGACAGTGACAGAGGAATGGGTTGAGCATGAATGTGCCGTCTCGAGCCAACAGTAGTGATTAGTGTTATGCGCAGGCTGAGATAAGGTGGCTGAGACCACTGAAGTAGGATTTCTCTCGCTCGCTCATCAGCTCAAAGTGCAGTGGCTGCTGGCAGAAGGTACACTCTCCTGATGAGTGGGGCTTCAGCTCCAGGCCCACCTCCTTCCACGTGTGCACCAGCCTCTCTGTAGAGGGAAAACAGAAAAGCTTTCATTAATGACAGAAAGCTGAAGTTGCTGAAGTCTCACTGAATACAAATTGTCTTTTAAGAATGGTGAAGCACGAGGAAATCACCCTGTGTATAAAATTTTAAATTCAGACTGAAGTTTAACAACCAACTCTTGCTATTTGGTCAAATCAGATGATCTGTGAAAACGCAAATCTTCAATACAAATGAGGAGAAGTTTCATGTCCAACAAGGTGAATTTACATTTTAACTGACACACATTAACACGACTACCAGATCTTCTTACCAACAAAGTATTTCATCATCTCAGGAGTGTGGTGAGGTGTTGGTGCGATACGCAGAAGCTCGTCTCCCCTGGCAACAGTGGGATAGTTGATGGCCTGCACGTAGATGTTGTGGCGACTCATCATGAGGTCACACACCTCTGTGTGTTTTTCTCTGCGTCTGACACCTAAAAAGAGAAATACATGGTCTTTAGAACAGAGGCACTGGGGAGACTTAATGTTTTTAATTGCACTGTAACTTGGTATACCATTGGTGTGAATCAACTTTCATGTTGTAGGGCGATAAATTAAATAACAAATTACCCGGACTGGGATGATGTGGCTAGGGCAGTGCACCACAGGCAGCCCCGAGTCCATCAGCATTTGTCTGAGCAGCTTGACGTTGCGCTGGTGTTTGCGTCTCAGTGCGCGGCCCTCTTCCCCCTTAAGAACCTGAATCGACCGCCTGGCTCCGGCTAACAGCATTGGCGGCAGAGAGGTGGTGAAGATGAAACCAGCAGCGTAGGATCGCACCGTGTCCACCAGAGCAGCGGTACTCGCGATGTAGCCGCCCACACAGCCGAAGGCCTTGCCTGGAAGAGGACATGACACATATGTGGTTATTCTTAAATCATGGTTTTTGCTACACCTCTAGAGACATCATTTTGTATACTTTAAACAAACAATTCAAGATTCTGAAACATTCTTGTTTACAGGCACTACATTAGGCTCAGGGGTCCATGCAAAATCCACCCACTGTCTCTCAAAAACTAGATTATCCTGTTTTGTGAAATGGCAGCTGCAGGAGAACAGGGGCTGTTGAGCTCTGAGTTAGAAATAATTGTCCCCTCAGCTTGAGAGCTACACACAGACAGAGAGTAATTCAATAAGAGCGCAACAAGAAACCCCAGTCTCCTAGCAACAACAGAGCTGCTCTAGCCTCTTTAAGCCCTCTGGCATATTGGGTGACACAGAAGAGGCTGATCCTGAGTATCATAACGAAACAGAAGGCAAGGAGATTCCCACTAGCTGGGAGTAGTTTCCTATAAATACATGAAAAGTAAACCAATTTATTATTCACCTATTGGCTCAAGAACATTTTAGCATGGCTTCAAAGTGGAAATGCTTAGTAAATTATAACCAGCGATTGGTTTTAGTAGAGATTTCATACTGACCTAAAGTCCCTGAAATAATATCCATCTTGTGCATGATGCCATCCCGGTCTCCAATGCCCCCTCCTCTGGAGCCATACAGGCCCACAGCGTGAACCTCGTCTACGAAGGTGATGGCACCAAACTCATGGGCCACATCACACATCTCCTCCAATGGACACACAGCACCTATGTTACAAAAAGATACAAAGAAAGGTTCAGCTTCTAGCCAGGCACAATTTTATTCTAACCCCACACCCAACTAGATTTCCTTTGCTAGAAAACTATTAAATAACATTCTTGTACAAACTTGTAGCTGTAATCAGCACAAGTCAGTGATTCCTAACTTTTTCATGACAATTAAAAAGCAACCACAAATTTTATAAATGCTTTAAAAAAAAAATTGGGACCATCCCAAACTAACCATCCATGGAATGGACGGTCTCAAAGGCCACGATCTTCGGTTTTGTGGGGTCTCCCTTTTGTAGAAGTTCTCGGAGATGGCCAATGTCATTGTGGCGGAAAATGAATTTCTTAGCCCCACTGTTTCTGATACCCATGATCATTGACGCGTGGTTGCCGGCATCAGAGTAGATCTCACAACCTAAAATAGTTCAGTAGAAAGAGAGGAAGTGACTTAATGTAATGCATTAATGTAAAACATGAATTAATGACCAACTAATAAATAACTAATAAATGCACATAACATGTTGGATTTATTGTAAACATAATTTTTTTTTGTATACCTGGCAGCATCTTGGCGAGGGTGAAGAGGGTGGAGTCATTGGCGACAAAGCAGGAGGTGAAGAGCAGTGCAGCGTCCTTCTTGTGAAGGTCAGCCAGTTCGTGTTCCAGTTCCACATGAAATTTACTGGTCCCAGAGATGTTCCTGGTGCCTCCTGCCCCCGAACCATGCTTTCGTAAAGTATCCCTGGAAACAGAGGACAAGAAAGAAAGACAAAATGTGTTTAATCTCGTCTGTTTTTTGGGCTAAAAATTTTACACACCTGTATGCCAGATGTAAGCTGAAGGAGGGAAAAGGCTAAAAGAAATATTATTAGAAATAATATTTTATAATTAAGCAGGATAGCTGCTTAGTAGTGACAGACACCTTGCTTCAAGGTGTTACTGCTGAGAGAGCCGGGCAAGCTTAAACAAGCTGAAAGGAAAAGAAGACATAAAATCCCACCTAACTGGGACCCATGAGGTTCAGGTGTAAACTATGGCCAACTAAAACTCTATACCCTTACAAACAATGAACTGGATCACCCACGGGTGTCAGGTTGTATTCAATTATGTGCTGTGTCTCATCTGGTCTCAGTTTTTTTCCCCTCTTTTTTTAACTCAACAGCATCTACATGAGACGTGGACAGCCAAGTAGAATATTTGTCTCATTGCAAGTTAACACATCTCGTCTCAAGGGACCAATTCAAGTGTGTTTTTATGACACTACGCACATAAACAACTCCTCCAATACTCACATAATGGATTGCACGACATGTGGGTGTCGACTCATGCCCAGGTAGTCGTTGCTGCACCAAACAGACACCTCCCTCTTGTCCTCTAAAGAACCCGTGAAGTCGTCGGCCATGGGGAACTCGTTGGCCAGACGATTCACCGTCTTAAACACGCGGTATGTGTGGTCACTCTTCTTCTCTACAATCTTCTTCTCAAAAAAGTCATCATAATGGAAGCGGGACACTAGAACAGAACAGGAAGACAAAGCTTGCTTAATGTGGCTTGCATTATGACGGATGAAGCAATGCATAACATGATGAATCTCTCAGCTCATCTTACTCAAATGGATAAGAAAAAACATGCCTTAGACTTCAAAATTATTAAAAATTTCAGAGTAAACTTGTTGCTAGTATGATCACAAATTTGTAGAACAATGTGGCAACACACTAGATGACTCACAGATGATCTGTGTCAATACATTTGCATGTAAAGAAGTTGTCAGAGCAGCCAAATAAAACTTACGACTGCCTGGCAAGTTATCCTGCAGCAAGTGGGAGACCCTTTTAGGTTGCTGTTTCAGGAGGGTCTTCATTAGATTAGTTGGCTCTCCTCCGCTTCCCTTTATGGCAGTGGCCATGGATGGCTTCTTCATCTGGGAAGAGGACACTTCTATAAAAAGTCCAAGAGGGTACACAAGTACATTAGCATCATCAAATTGTGTTTAAAAATGATGGGCCAAACCAGGGTCATCGAATTTATTTCTAAACAACTGTTACCTTTCTGGACAGTGCGGACTTCCTCAACATCCTCTTGGAACTCCATGCTGACCTGGCGGACCACACTGCTGTTCTTCTGGCCCATCTCAGCAGCCAGGAAAGGGCATTTGGAGGCCACCGTCTTGCTGCAGGATGGCACAGGGTGGCCGGCAGGGTGCTTGGACTCTCCTCCCTGTTTGAGGCCTGCAAGTGAACAAAAGAGGTTTTTGACTTTAGATTTAAATAGTTATTACATTATTTATTACATTAACTGGGATACTTCACTTGATGTAATGTAAGTATAATGTAAAGTAGGTTAAATAAAAAGAAAAAAGAACCTACTCCTTATTTGTCAACCTCACCTTCACTGGCAGACACAGTGTCCTCAGTCTTCTGGTGGGAGGAGAAGGAGGAGGAGGAGCAGAGGGCCCGTGCCATTGATGGAGCCATAGGTTTAGAGGCCAGCTCCATCATGATAGGGCATCGCTGGGCGTACGCCACCATAGACTTTTTGGTCTGCTGGAAGAATGCCTGGGGCACACGAGCCAGGAATGGACAGCGGCGCACTATCACATCCATAGTCAGTGGTGGTGATGATGATTGTCCAGAGGCCTAAAAGGAGACAGTTAAAAGGTTATTGCTTCCACGTGCTGCAAAAAAACGGTTTCACAGGCTGTTTTACTTTAAAAACACGCAGTATACCCAAAACACATTTCTGAAATACAAATCAATCTATCCAAATAGTTTCAGTGTCACTTACACACAATAACTCAATAATGTACATATTAAATTACAGTGTTTCTTCTTTCTGTGCAGGGAAGACAGAGTAGAGGATTACTTTGGTAGAAAATCATTCCCTATGAAACTACTCACAACATGGCCAATAGATTATTGTAACAGTCACTGTATAGCTCAGGAGAAATCTCACTGTTGGGTTTTGATAAATTTTTGTAGGGCAGGGCCATTGTCATTGGCCTTGAATGTATTCAGACCGTTCAGACATAAACTGAAAAGGATAGATTACACTTAAAAGGAAGAGGGAAAATGGTTTATTGTGGTTAATGATGAACCATTCAATAAAAAAATAAATAAAAAATCTAGACTTTGACTAGAAATGTTTGGCACACAGTCCATGTATTGGACATTTTCATAGGCGGATGACGTTTGCTCAGTTTTATTCACAAAAAGAAGGTCAAAAGAGGTGGCTGAAACTAGAGAAAATTTCCAGTAAGTGGACCATACTTGAGGACTTTTTTTGTTAAACAATTATTTAAGGACAATAATGGGCCTTCAAGCTACACTAGGTTGCTTCATCATCCTGCGTTCAAATGTTTAGAATACCTCCCTGAAACCTGAAACATCATATCAGTTGTTTAACTTGTAACTCTTGTATGCTTTACAAAATCACATTTCTGTGACTGAATTAACTGCTGGGGTCAGTGCAACGTATGTGGATGTGTGATGCCATCGTAATAAACGCGATAAAAAGCCTCATTGCGTAAAAACAAAAATCACAAATCTTGAGCAACATCTATCCATGTGTCATAACCTTCCCACGGTTGAAGTCGAGTGTATACAAATTCCTCGACAGAGTAATCACAAGCTTTCCCCTGAAGTTCCCGGAAAAGGGATAAGAGCCAGTAAAAACACGCATACAATTAACATTAGGTGTAACTAATTTTATCTAATCTATTTAACAGTCAGTAATCTATAATAAAAGAGTGTCTAATCACATTTACAAGCGTCCACACGCTCTTTTAAGTAAGTACAAATAACATTAACATTAGCCCGACCGCTCGTGATCCTTGCCTGGTTGACCGAGGTTAAGGTTAGCTAGGCTGCTAAGAGTAAGTTAGCTAAGCTACAACCAGAAGTCAGGATGATTTGAGGATGACATACCTCTTAAAAACTTCACAATTAATAGCGGAATCCTCTTCAACAGTCGTGCAGTGTACAGGAGAATGGCAGCGAAGCTAATTTAGTGTTAAAGACCAGCTATAATGCTCGTTTTTTTAAGAAGTCGAGGAGAGACAGCCGCTTCGTTATCCTTCACTGAGGACGAACGGAAGGACGAGGACGTGCAAGAGCTTATAAGAGCAAGTGTACACCCCTAGCTGATGGCGAAGGGAGGTCTCGCGATAACTCATTCGTTGACGTCATTTCAGTCAATCAGATTACGTGCAATCAAACGCTCTCATAGTAGGGTATTTTGTCTACAGCTGTTTGAAGTTAGATACATGTTTGATATGTTTGGCTTTCTGTTATACACATTGTATATAAATTATTGCAAGTTTATCGACATTTTCTTTCGACTTTATGTCAAAAATGGCATCTGCAAGTGTTGGATGTCTTACTTTGATACAGGCTAGTGGGTTTTTTTTTTTTTTTTTAGTTGATACAGTTCTTAACATATATAACATTAAATCTAAGTACAGCTCAAGCATCAATAGATAAAGTGATGTGGTGAAGTGGAAAAATTTCCTGTGCACATGTGACCTCTGGTGTTGAAAAAGAGACATTGACCTTGAACTGCTTCGTGAACAGAAAATAAAGTCTATTTTCTTGACGTGGGGTTAAATGACAAAACTTAATCTGTAGGCTTACACATGTGACTGCACGTGTGATTGTGGAAGAGCCATTAAATCTTTTTGCAACGAGTATCAAAATGTGAATTTTCAACCTACAGTGTGTCAAACATTTAAACAACAGCATATTACTAAAGTTAAACTCGATAAACATAAACAATAAACCCTCAATTGCAAGGTTAGTGGGTACACATACCAGTCATCAGCCCTGCAATTAAATCCTTCCTTCATGAATAATGCACAGTTTTTGTTGAGATATTTTCATTTTCATGCAGCCTATGGTCTACCCTCATTTATGCAAATGGTGGGGACAAGATACAATATAAACATGTAAAAACAACAAATAAATACGAATCCCTTATTCCCTTAGCAACTGCAAAAACTCATGATTTTAAATACATTTTAAAAAGATTCAATAAACATAGCTTACTATCTAGCTAACTTACTATCTGCATAAATAGGTTTCATTGCATCTGCCCTCTGCAAAACAGAAATTAGAAGTCTCCAAATTATCTTCTGAAATAAGAAATCAAATAACTTTGGCGTCATATGTGATCTATGAAAATCATTTCTGTAATATCTGAATCCCTCTATTATGGCTTTCAGCTTCAAATCACGGCCAGACATGGTGTTTTGCTGCCCTCTACAGGTTTTTTTTTAGGTTGTAGCACTCTTTTCAATGAAGTTTACCTGCACTGGACTGGACCTTAGACCTGTCGTCTTTGATATAAACCTGAATGTCTCACTTGGACTGAAAGCACTGGTCTATGCTCCAGAAGCTGTTTACACTTTAATGCATCAGTAATAATAATCTAATGATATAATAACAATCAATTTACACAGCAATGACAGTGATATGCTCCATAATGGGCATTTGATTCTTTGCTGATAGTACTTTCATACTTTTACTCAGTTAACCTTTTGAATGCAGATATTTTCCTTATATTTTCACATTGTAATACTGCCACTTTTAGTCAAGTAAAGGACCCCTAAGATGCTTACTAAATGATCATAAATCATGAAAATCTGTGCGTCGGGCGTATAGCAATTGAAACCCACAATGCTGTCTGTCATCCCCTCTCAATGTCTATAGTGGCCAAAACACTATTTTACCCACATATCTTCTCTGAATTTTCCTTATAAAGTTAGAAGAGTAGGGGAAACAGAAATATATCACAAGGAGCTATGGGAGATCAAGCATAATAATCACCATTCAAATTAATTACAGTTATAGACTACTTTTATGTTTTAAAAGGACATGTTAGACAATAGTAAAATGAGGGAAGCACTTTCATCCTCTCAACCACAAACACCGGACCACTCCCAGCAGCCAGATATACATCTGTTGTTTGCAGGCTCTTTACCAACTACCCATGTCAGTGGTTGTAGACTCTCAGTCACAGCAACCACTCAAGCAAAAAGATTGGTGAGCAAGTTCTGTAGTCTACTTGAGAAGCTCAAAACTGAAAGTCTTATTCTCACTATTTCCTGTTACCACAGATGTCATTGTACAGGGCAGTCTGTTCCTGCCTCATAATCAGATTGAATTGCTTTTTTGTTTACACTTAATCATATTAAGTGCTTTAATCAACTGACAGATTATTTATTGACAACAATTTTTGACAACCAGTGAATTGTTTACGTCATTTCTCAAGCAAATACTGAACACAAGTGGTAATTTGTTACATACAGAATGTTTGAGTTTTGGACTGATGGTTACATAAAACCACAGTTGTGGCAAATAGTGGACGTAGCCACTATGATGTCACCCATTGGTTTGTGGACTACCGTTTTGAAGCCTTGAGTTTTTCATTTTGGCCATCCTGTTTTTTTGGAACCAGAAGTGACCATATTCTGGCTAGAGGGTGGAGCTACTTAGTTTTGTTAGCGAGGTGCATTCTTAATTCATGTGATGTAAATTGGGATGCTAATTTTGGCTGGCAAAAGAAATGAACAGCTGACGTCTTAGAATGTACATTAGTGCAATCTAAGGCAGAACGAGACATTTTTAGACAACCAAAATGTTACAATTAACTTTCATGAACTGAAAACACACTGTGAAGAGGTCAAAGTTCTTAGACGAAAACCCAGACAGTTCCCAAAAACAAGTTCACGGCTAGTTAAATATTCACAGAGCAGTGGATATAATTCACTTAAATCCTAATTGACAAGTTGCTGTGGTAGTGAATTGTCAATCTCAAGGTAGCCACGCCCTAAAGCATACTCTGCTCATCTATTTGCTCTAAATAGGACTGCAATTTACAAAATGAACATCATGCCGTATTAAAGAAGAATTGAAATTAGTGACTGAGATCATAAACTCATTAGGAAAGTGTTTACTCAGATAATAAATCAAGTGAGAAAAGGTTCATTTTGTCATAGACTACACTTCAATCTGGCTTCTTTTTACAACAAGTGAGGCGCATACTGCTGGCCATTAGAAATAAGGAAGGTTTAAGGCACTTCCACATTAGCTTAACTTTTCAGAATCGGTGGTTTCCCCTTGGATAAACCAGCAATTTGAAAAGACCGCCATTGGCAAAGTCTGGATTAACCACTGGGCAAACTAAGCAACTGCCCTAGTGATACCTGCATTAAAACATCATGAGGCCCCATCTTATATATTGTTTTAATGCCTTTATGATTTTATTTTATATTGTGCTTACATGGTGCATACTCCTAAATGAATACATGCTTAATCAGGAAAACCACAAAGTATTGCAAATTACTGACTAATATGTACACGGCGCACAAAAGTGTGAGAAACCGGGGGTCATTAGGGGCCCATAGCTCATTTTTGCCCTGGGACTCTCTTGAAGGTTTATCCAGCCTTGAACTGGTCTTTGAGAAATTATGATGATAATTTTTCACATTTTCTTCCTATTACATATATTATTTCTAAATAATTAGTTGAACAATTGAAACAAAAACAAAATATTCAGCTATAATGAAAACAAATTTTCAGGTCTAAACACAAACTGTAATTGGTTCATTTCAAATTGCTACATACGATTGAATAAAAATAATTGGTTAATCAACATGTAAAAAGAATTTTAATGTTGTAGCTGAAGATATTTAAGTACTTGCTATATTGTTAACGATTGTGTAACTGCTAAACAGATGATTTATATGTGAAATACGAATCCACAAAGTAACAAATAAAGTTTTTAGATAAATGTAGTGGAGTAAAAAGTACAATATTTGCCTCTGAACTGTAAGTTAATGTTGTAGAAATAAAGTAACAAACACTAGTATCTCAAAGTACAGCACTGCTACATTGCTTAGAGAGAGGGGGAGGGCCTGTTGGTTGATAAGAGCCTAACAGCTCCCCTACCCCCAACCCGGTACGGCTGACTTTGCCTGGCATGCTTTATTGATAATTCTGAGAAAAAATAACTCCACTAAGCAGGTAGTTAATTCACTTAGGTTACTCTATAGACGAAATGCTTAGTATAACACAGGGTGAAAAAAAAACATTAATGAAAAATGGGCGTAACCTCGACTGAGTGAGGCAGCTGTCTGTGTAGACGATCTCTGCAACGGGCGATATCTTCCGACCTCCTGTTTCCAACTGTCGGAGGAGGAGGAGGAGGAGAGTCTCCCCAGTTTCCTACCCGAATTCGGGAATCTTGAAGAAGCCATGGCGTCAGGCCTGTCCAGTGTTGTTGTGTTGGCTTTATGTGTGACTCTGGCCCCTTATGTATCTGGTGAGTTTGATCTTTAATCTGTAATCGGTTGCTGTTGTCTTGTGTTTTAACGCTCAGACGGGGGCTCAAACAGACCCAATTCGGGCGATGTCAGTGACGTTAGCTTTGATAACCGAGAACTGGGTTGTCTGTTCAGACTTATCGCTTGTTGTTCAAACATTGTTTTAACATTGTAACGTTCATTTGTTTCAACTAGTTCCTCTTTTTGTATTAATTGAAGGCCGACAGTGGTTGACAAACTAACGCCAAGGCAAGGGACTGACTCAACGTTGTCACTGCATTGCTATTTCCTCAAGCTACCCTGTAGCCATCTTCTAATAACGTCCGATCACTTTAAAAGACACGACGTTATCTGAAGAATCTGTCTAGAGGAAAATGCATAATCTTATGTGATATTTTTGTGAATTATCAGCTAAGTTACCCTTTTTGATATAAATAAGCGTGAAAAATAACATGAAAAACACCAACGCAGCAAAATCAACATGAAGTTGTATCAACAGCTCTATACAAACACTGAACGTTATCCTTCATAAATGTAGGGTTTGTTGCCGGACTGTTTTATTACACTTTACTTAAATTAGCTAGTAAATTAGCAACTGAGTTTCTGTTTTGAAAGCAGCAGATATAGGTGTATCAGGTTGAGGCTGTTTTCAAGTTTACAGATATTAATTTATTTGTTTAGCTGCAATTGAGGATTATTCTCAGAAAACTGTGTAAAATGGCCATTACAATTTATCAGTGCCTGAGGCACTCACATTGCTTTTTTTTGTCTGACCAACAGCCAAATAACCGGAGATATTCAGTTCATTAGTACACATGCTAAAGAAAAGCAGCAAACACTGGTAGAAGTACAGAATGTTTGGTGATTTTGCTTGGAAAAAAAGACCAAACAATTAGTCAAATATAGAAATAGCTGCCAATATTTTTTCTTTCCATTAACAAATCAATTAATCACCTTATTGTTTCAACTTTATTGGATTCTTTCAGACCTAGACCGTCAAGCCAATATATGAACTGGATTAGAGGTGTTGCCTGTTTTTAAGTGGGTTTCGACTTGTCTTTGTTTTTAATCTATTTTCATGCCTTACTCCTATTTTAGCCATCTTTGATCACCACTACAGCTTCGTCTTCATAGTTAGTGAGACTAACCTTTTGTTCCCCTTGCTGCTTTCTGTCTCTGCTCTGTTACAGCAGGGGACGACTGTCAGTCCTATACAGATGAATTTAACCAATACAAACCATCCCAGGAGTGCAGCTCGGGTTTTTGCTGTGGAGACTGCACAAAAAGATACTGCTGTCACCAAAATATCTGGAGGTTTTCTGAGGATAAACAAGAAAGATGGTATTCTATATTATAATATATAAATAAATTACCTCTGACTACAGGTGACATTTGTGGTGAGGGTGTGAGATTTAAAGCTCCGTGTTAGACGGTGAGACAGAGAAAGACTGAAGCTGGTTTCCTTTTGAGTCTCTCTCTTTGTCCCTCTGTCATCAAAGTTGAGACATTGCAGCCTGTTAGGAAATTATTATGCAGTCAAGAAAGAGGAAGTAATGCTTTCTTGTGCACGACCACCAGCATGAAGCTAATGTGTGCAGTCTCCTTTCACGTGGCAGATTCACAAAATGTGTTTAGCTGACATTCCTGATGTTCATTTGTTTTTATAAACATGGTAATATTCTGTATTTATAACAGATAATTGGTATGTTTTTTCACCACTAGAGATCAGTGCACATTATGGCAAATATTCTGTAATTATTTTACTTTATTTACATTTACTATTATTGGTGGTACAAGTGCTTAATCATTGAAATCAATCAGCTTTTCTTGTCCATATGCTGTACGAGTTAGGTAATACATTGTTTGTTTCTTTTTTAGTAAATACAGTCGTTTTAACAGTCAGGGGCCACAAATCACCATGATCTTTGGTATTGGTGGCTTTGTTGTCTTCTTACTCATCGTCATCTGCTGCTGTGTGTGTCCCTGCTGCTGCCTGTACAAGATGTGCCGCAAGCCAAGACGTAAGTAGCCCTCGACCAACAATTTAATATTGTCTGTTGTTGTTGTTGATGCTTTTAGATTCAGAACTGGCAGCTAGTTCTTCACAACAGCCAATGTTTCCAAAACAGACTATGGCCTGATTTATTGATTTGGCAGACTTGGAGTAATGCACCATAATGTGGATGCAAACATCAGTGCCTCACTGGTGCAAGTGAGGCACTGATGTCACATTATGTTTGGAATTTCTCTCAATAGTCTCTGTATTTAAAAGCCACATCTTAAGCATCAGAAAACCCCTCAAAATGAACATAATATCTTCTTCTGTAGAAGGACATAAGAGATAGGCAATTTGGATGCCACCTTACAGTATGTGATAGTCCAACAGCTTGAGCAGCAGCTTTTTTTTTTATGTTGGCATTAAGCTACTCAATATGATGATATATGCCAGCAGAGGATGTAAGTTTTGTCTACTAATTTAGCTGTTTATACCATATCTATCCCTTTTATATCTTGTATTGTTTACAAGTTCACCAGCCAAATTCTGACAAGCTTACATTCTGGTACTACCTGAACAGCAGGTTAAGACAGAAGGTATTTAAGATAAACAGAAACTTAACATGTGCAAAACGAAAGTTACAGAGGATGATGTGATTGCGTCAAGGCCATGAAGAACCTTGATCTGTAAGGCATTTCATTCACTGATTAGCTAAAAACAGACACTGCCATCTGGTTATTTTAATCATAAGGAGTTTCTCAATTGATTTTTCTGGAAATTTACTATATCATCATAATATCAAATAGCAAGGATTTCTTCCATAGCGGCCACTCCTTAACTGGTAGTGATATGATGCACAGAAATTGGCTCAGTCCTGTGATTGGGTGGGGTTACACACAATGCACCCACACATGTACACTACCCCCCCTTCCTTAAGGGTTAGGGTTACAATATTTATTTACGCACTTTAAAAAGATTTCTTAAAACCTTCTTGGGAACAAACTGGTAGTTCTATTTAAAATCAGACATTGAGCACACCCAAATCGCCAAAACGGCATGATCCTCGTTTCATAATGCCTCTGCAAAGATTAGACCGTAGCCCCGAAGACTTAAGACTTAAGACTTTTTTTTTTAATATACATTAGAGTAATCTATCGCATCAGTTGTCATATCTTACCAGTGGTTGACCATCCAATTTGAATTTTAAGGTGTCATCGCAACATTTCCCTAACACACTTATCCCTGTACAGTAACCAGGTATGTGTATTAGTTAGGTATTATTTTATACAAGGGCCAGAAGAACAAATGACCCATGTACCAAAACAGAAATGATGACCTGCATTACCTAAGTATTAACAGTCAGTTGAAGCAGTGAGTATTGTGTTGACAGCACTGCAACATGAAGCTGCACATGTGGTGGTTTCCTGCACACAACACATCTTTGACTTGCAGCTTTTCAACCTACGTAAAATGCAGTGTCTGATTTAAAAACAAAAAAACAGCCCCCTGGGGGGTAATGAAGAAGTCAGACTCTTAGTTTCCAGTGTGTTGGAGTATTCATCGGTCTAGTTTAACACAGAACATCAGGGGACTCATTTGAGTTCTGTCGGCCCACCCACCACATGACTTTCATTACTGCAATGGCTCGGTCTTACTAATAACAGACATTTAGAGACTGAGCACAACATGGTTTAACATTCACAAAATGCAAACGATGTGTGACACTGACAGCAGTTACAAAGATGTACTTTATTCAGTGAAGTAAACTCTGTCCAGACCTGTGAAGATCCTCCAAAGTTTTACTGAGACTTTTAATGATCTTCTGTGGTGAGCGGTGCACTGTGCAAGTTGATGACTCAGTATTGTTATCTGTGAAAATTGCTGTTTGGAGTTCATGCCTAACTTGAATACTGCTGGTCTTGCCATTCTTAATTTATGTGGCTGTTTTACAGGTCAAGACCTGTTTATTTTCAATGCTACGAATTGGAGCACATACCTGTACATGTAAATGCCAGCTTTAATATGCACCTCAAACCTGTGGCTGGAAATTGTGTGTATATATATATATATATATATATATATATATATATATATATATATATATATATATATATATATATATATATATATATATATATATATATATATATATATATATATATATATATATATATATATATATATATATATATATATATATATATATATATATATAATATAAATATTATTTTTTTTTTACAAGCACCACGTGCTAGCTCAGCTCATAGCAAATTGTTACAAACAAGCTAATATGAAAACTGTCTGTTTGTAGCCTAACTGTTTAGCTCAGTTTGCCACGTACCTTAAAATTTGGCAAATTCTTGCAAACTTAGCTCCTGGCTGAGAAACCAGCCTCTTCTCTCGACAAGAGGTACCTGCAGGCTGTGGATCACATCAGCAGCAGAGGGAGGAGGACAGAGGACAGGAGGAAGGACTGATACTGACTGACTAAACTTCACTCAGTAGTTTTATATCTGGAATATCATTTATGTTATTGACATTTCGATATATATTGATGTTATATAGTGAATACAATTATAAACTTTACTGTTGCCGCTTTAGAAACAACATTTACTCATTGCAGTCTTGAACAGTGTTATCGCACATCAAAGATTTTCCTCAGATCATGCAGGCCTTATTTGTTATCTGTTTGAAAGACATTTTGGGAGGAAGCAATGGGCTTGAAGCTGAGCGTTTTGTTGACAATAACAAACACAGAATATCACCATCCTTATCATTTAGATCGCAACATAATTTGTATTAATTTTAACTTTTTTTGTTTTCTCTAATATAAGTACTTTGTATAGATTTATTTACATAATTTACATTGCTCATGCTTACATTGCTTACTGTGCTTTCTTGCTGTCTTTGGCATATATTGGCAATATTTTCATGTTCCTGTCACAGAATTGTGGTCTGCGCTGTTTTTGTCATATATGCAGGTAGGCCTCTGAGCAGCAGACGCTAAGATTAGGTTTTATTGCTGCTTGTGTTTGGCTGTGACCATAGCTGCTTTTGAGCAGTCATTGTGTTCCCAAAAAACCTTGAAGGTTTTTTTAGACAAGACCTAACACTCATACTAAATCAGTCGTCATGCGTAGAAGCCCCGCATAACTAAGTGTTACAACTCAAAAGTCTCCAGGAAGTAAGCTTACAGTAGTTTTGTGACCTTGCAATCACCAACAAGGTTTGTGACCAAGCCCTCTGTCTTTCATAGTTTCATCTACATCTCAGATCCAGATCATAATAACATGTAAGGAATTCTTCCTTACATCAAGTCTTAGGGCTGAACAATTTTATTAAAAATATCTAGTGCGATAATTTTGACTGATATTGCAGTTGATTTGATTAGCAATACCAGGAGAATGATAATTTTTACATCATTATTCTCATTTTCATTCAAAAACATATTTAAAACATATTTGTTCTACTCGGTGTGTGAGAAAGTTTCATTGACAAAAATTTGACCAGAGAGTAAAAACAAGAATTTGACACTGCAGAGCTTCAAGTCCTGCAGTTGGAAACTAGCAGCCAAAAAAAATAAGAAGTTTAGCAGAGTCAGCAGAGGATGATACTGGACAGCATAGAGACCTTGAACTACAAAATGTACAAAATTGCTGTGGTAAATCAAAGGTGGTAAGCCATGATGATGATACAATGAACAGTATAATCATTTTGGCATTAAATTTTGTCTTAGTTATATATTTTGTGTTAGTGAATTATGGTATCATATTTAAGCTCTAAATTAATTCAGAATAAGGCATTATGATTTCTGGTCAAATGAGTCCCCCTTAGTATATGATTTCCCCTGTGGAAACATGACTAACACGACAGGTCTGGACCACATTTGAATTTTGTTCGGTAAAAATTGGTGAATGCCACAAATTTTCACTTGCGCGTCCCATTTAAGAGGGAATCAAGTAGTTCTTGCATGAGGCCCGACGTGCATGGCTGAGACAAGGATATTGGAAGGAATGAAAGTAAAAACTCAGAGATTCAATTGGGTTAAATATTTGTGATGTTTTCAGTTTAGACCGGATTGTCACTTATCTTATCATTTCTACTCTTTTACCCAGTTCTCTATATTGACTCCTTGAAAATTCCCCACAGTGGAAAGAACCTCAGTTGTGTGTGTATTTTTGTTGACACTTGAGCATGCACACCGCTGTAGATACTACACACTTCTGCACTTCCTGTCAGCTTTGTCTTTCAGCCAGCTTGTTCAGGTTTTTGCCAACAGAGCGACTCAGCCCTGGCAGAGAGCTAACTAAAGACACAAGCAAGAATTTGGATTTCCCAAGTTGCACTGTTGCATGTCGGAATCATATCCAGGAATGTTGGAGCTCCACCTCGTTTGACTCATTGTTTCCATGAAAACTACAGTGGGGAAAAACTCAAGACCAGCTCACATCATTTACAGGAAGTGGTCAGGATGACTCCCACTCTGTTGGGGGGGGAAAAAAACAGGCTGATGGGAGTGACAAACGCACACACACACATGGTTTCTTTTTTTAAAACAATATATAAAAACAACTCTTTCAATTTCACTTAAGTTGCACAGTTATGGGTTTAAACTTGGAAAGTATTTCTCTAAATTTTATCAATCTTGCCAGTAACAAAACATAAAGAACATTACTTAATGCTAGCCCCAAATGGCACACAGTTGAAAATCTAAACGAACTTTAGGGACACAATGTAAATTGATCAAATAATGTGTTTTTCCATGATAAAGATATACGAGGAGACACTTGATTTAATTTAATTTGAATATATAAAAGCACAAAACAGAAAGTACATAAGTTTTTTTTTTTTTTTTTAATTACTTCTGCATCAAACTGTATTTATTCAATAATTATGTAGTTATTTATACTTGAAACAGTTTTAATCTGTATGATCACCTCTAAAGTTTCACCTCACAGTCACAAATGCGAGTGAAACGCTTGCACTGATGAAGCTGTTTTTCAAAAATTGTGTAAATCTCTGCATTGCTAATGTTAACCAAATCATATTTAGTTTCCTTGAAATAGACCTGGGCCCTCATTTATAAATGGTGCGTACGTACTAAACAGGGCTTGAAATGTGGGTACGCCACTTCCCAAGAAAAGGTTGTGATCTGTTAAAAACAAACTTGACGGGAGAATGTATGGTCCTCCACGCAAACTCTGAGCCATGCATATGCACATAAACTGGAGAAATGAGAAACGGCAACTCACATGGAAGAGGGATGAAAAGGTTTGAAATGAATAGGAAATAGATTGAAATATTACCTCTGCGTATTGAATAAACAAACACACGTTTGATTGATTTTTGCTGTTTTCAATGAGTCAGTCGAGCAAATACCAGTGCATTGTTTCATGTAGCCTATTGTTATCAATGTTTGTTGCCTTATTGAGCCAAACGCTGTGCGCCAGCATGTGGATGTGATGCGCTGCTTGTAAATACATGTTATGTAAAAATATAACTCTTTTATTAAGTAAATCTTTAAGCTAATGTCATTTAGCCTACAACAAGTCATTTCTTTTAACTCAGCAGCAGCTTTGTTAAGTGAGTGCACTGATTGTTTAACCTAAATAAATGTTTAAACACATGCAGAATGCATTTGGTTTAATCTCTTCTCAAACATGTCAGAGATCGTATGCCTCTGGAGCAACTAGAGGTTAAGTGTCTTGCTCAGGGACACAATGGTGGATGGGTCACAGTGGGGGATTGAACCTGGGTCTCTCACATCAAAGACATGGTCTTATCCATTGGACCATCGCCACCCCAATAGATCTACCTTCCTGAGTGTTGTCTGCAGTTTCTCCTTTCAGGCTGCACGCAACAACCTCCACCAGTAAGATAGGGTAGACAGTGTGCAGTCTGTGAGGCAAAACCAGGGGCAAATGGGAAAGTCCAAAAAGCATATGCTTCTGCTGATAAAATTTTTCAATGTGTCTGACAAGGCAGTACCTTGAGTCTGGACACTGGAGGTGGATAGATACCTTCAGAAGCTTGTTGACTTAATACGATTTTTACATCTTGGTTTTCTTAGTGTCACCAGGTTTGTGAAGTTGGATAAAAGCAGAAGCGTTATGGGCTGGTCTGTGTTAACTCTTGCAGCATATGTTCTTTGTATGAAATTTGAACTACTTCTTTGTTCTGATGCTGTAATACATTGTACCTACTATTGTGTGAGAACAATTCTTAGTCTCTGTGTTTGGGGTTATGCTCTATAAATAAATACTGGTTAACCTGGTGAAATGCTTAGCATGTATTTGGGGCAGTTTTATGCTGCCGTTACCATGTTAAGGATCCTGCAATTGAAACCCCTACCCAGCTTACATTTCTCATCTGTTTCTGTGTTGCATTTGTTTACAGCTGTGGTAACTACCACCACTCACACCACAGTGGTCACCACCTCTCCTCAGCAGTACCCTCAGCAGTACCCCCAGCAGCCAACTGCTACACCTGGTCAGCCTCAGTCCTACCAGGGGGCACAGTATCCACCCTACCAGCCCATACCAGTGCAGACGGGTTATGGAGCCCAGCCGATGCCGCAGGGGTATGGGCCTCAGCCCCTGCCAACATCACCCTACCACGGACAAGGGTTCATAGCACCGCCACCGTCATATCAGGAAGCCAGTGAGTGTGGATTTTTAAACTTAGACAAAGAGTTACAGGTGTGATTGTGACAACAGCCTGTTGTTAAATTAAGGACAACTTCTCTTTTTGAACACCCTGCCAGTATCAATTCCTTCAACAAAAAGAATGACAAAAAATATTTTTCAGCTAGACTAAAACTAAATAAAAAGTAGACCTTTGAAAATGATGAAATGTATTAATTAATTATTAATACAAGACTACAATGCAAAAGATGGACAAAAAGGTATTCTCTGCCTTACAAAAATAACAGATTTATGGACTAAATTCACCTACAGTCCCACTCAAAATTAGACAATAATCAGTAGCAAAACAGCTGAGACAAACCACAAAAAGCACACCAACGATTATAGCGAGGTAAGCTAATGTTAATGTGTTTACCATTATCAAAGGCATTGGATGTGAATGTAACATTTTCAGTCAGCTATCTTTCGTGCTGCTGAGTACTGTGGTTAACCTTCTAAATCTTCCTCTAGATATTTGCTAAATTAATTTCACTGGGTTACTGTCATCATTATGTTAACATTTCAGCTGCTCACCTTCCCTTTAAAGGTAACCACGCTAATGCATAGTTTGAATTTGTCATGACAATCTTTTACTCTCAGTCATCCAAATGCCTCAAATGAAAATGTAGATAAACTCAAGTTTTCATTTCACAAATCAAGTTATATATAGCTGTCTGTGTACTTCATACATATTTTAAGAGGGGGTGCGTTTCTCAAACGTCGTGGGATTTTTAGGGTTAACATTACACAAGGTTGGTGACTACTTAGTGGTTTTTTTTTTTTTTTTTTTAGAAACGCACAGTCTACTGTAGAAAAGCACCCTTTAACATGAGGTAATGACACATTAGTGTCAAAAAAATGTAGACATTTAACACATTATGCAATTCAGAATACATGTAATTGGAAGTTGAGGTAAATAACCTCTGCTGGTAAAAAGTTGGGCCATTTTGTAGAATAGGAAATGAAACATTTATGGTTTGACAGAACTGAAGTTGTGGTTCTTGTCTAAGCATTTCCAGCCCTTTCATCCGCATTCCATGTTTTTCTTTCTTTGTACAGCTGGCCCCTGCTACCCTCCCAACCCGATGCCTTACAGCCAGGCTGCATTTACTCCCGGCCAACCAGCCTACCCTATGCAGCCTCCTGTCCAGCCGCAGCCCAATGCTCCACCCGCACACACAGATTACCTAACCCAGCCAGCATACAACCCGGATTTTGTGGCACCACCACTACCCAAGACTGGATAGTGCACCACAGCGCCACACTGTCAGCCACTTTAATCGTGCTGCCACATTTTCGAACATGGCAGAACTGGAAATGTGTGATCTGAATCCAGATGAGAATTGTTTCTTGATTCAGGTGACTTGGTTGTTGAATACAGGGATGTTAGGACACATTTGTAGTTGCTGTAGTGCATCTGTTCTATCGAAGAGTTGCCAAGTGAAAATGTTGATACCTCTTGGTTTGTATTGCATGGACTTACAATATACAAGTGGTGAGATTGTTTTTATATATTATTTCTTAGTGTCTCAATCTTGGTAAATTACACATTAAAGTCTGAGCTTAAAGATGAAATGCTTTGACATTTTCCAGCATTCTGAACATGCCTCAACATCTCCCTTCTATTCTGTCTATGCTGTGCACCGGCCGAACATGCTTGACCTCCTAATTCACCTACAGTGACTGCAGTCAGACTCTTCAGGACTTTTGGTGCTCTGCCAGTTAATTTCTGACTGATAAAAGTGCTTTGAATGTTTTTTTTCATGTACTCTTCATTTTCCTTTGTCCCTGGTGTTTTGGAAGGCATGCAATGCTTTTTATGGATTACTTGAGAACAAATCAAGTCAAAAGGGTGCATCTGTTCTCCCTTGAGGATTTATGATGGAAAGAATACATGCTAATGTCAGTTGATTACCGATATTCAGAGGCTAACCGAGTTAATAGTGTGTGTTCAGGAAAAATCCCCCAGCAAAAAGGGAATGTTAATCACTCATCAATTCAAGCCCTTCACACAGGGGAAGTACACTTCATATTTAAGTTTTGTGTTCATGTTTGTGTTTTCCTTTCTTTTTTTGCTCAGGTTATTTTCAGTATTTGTTTTAAGGCGAGACACCACAGTCAGATAAGATTTCTTTCCCCAACTTTACTCATATCACAATGAAAGCTAAAAGCGATACATAAATAGAAGCTTTTTTGGATTACAATTTTTTTGTTTACTTTGTGATATACCAATGAGGTAATTCCTCATTAAATATGTGCTGATTTGTATATCACACAAATGTATCCATTTTCCAGCACATTAGTAAGAGTCAGATGGATTTTTTGGCTTTGTTGTGACAATATACCAAATGTCTAGACATTTGGCCACGGTTCATCAAAATTTAGTTTTTTAATAGATTTATTCAAAATGTGTGAAGGAATTATAAAAGATAATTTAAAAAAGCTCTCTGAATGTCTTGCTATGAGACCTCAGAGGCAGTGTGTAAAAGGAAGATGATCATCACTACCCTGCAGAGCGAGGCAAATTGCTTGGAGTCTGAAAATTGACAGATTGAAGCAAAATCATCATTTTGGACTGTGGTGTCCGGCCTTGAAACGTGTAACTGAGCTGAAATACATCGGCAGCTTTAAATGAAATATGCCTTAGTGATTAAAATTTTTTTTTTTAATCAACCAAACATTCATATAGTCAAGTTCACAAAAACAAATGCTATACTTACAAAATGCATGAAACAACTGTGCCTTCTTAGCCATGTTGTGTGTATGTAATTTAATTTAGTTTAAAATCTCCTTTTCCTACTCAGTATTGTGTTATTTGCCTGGAAATTGTCATCATCATTACCTGTATTTGACTGTACCAGCATAACAGTCAGGTTTGAATAATTAGTCTGTAGTTTTTTTATTGTCTAAAACCAAACTAAAAGCCTTCCTCGCTCTTCTTTGTCACTCATGTTTTTCTGTAATGGAGCCATCACTTCTGCTTTCTGCAATAACTTACTGAAGTGACCTTTTGCTTATGATCCAGCTGAACGTGGTAAAGTCACAGTTCATGTGACGAGCCAGACATTGATCTTTTGAGCTACTCTATATGAAATCCCTCACTTTTCAACTTCCTTTGTTTAGACGTTGGTTGTGGTCAAAAAACACAATAGCATTACATGAGTATCGCTGGTACAGGTTTCTAAATGACAAACTCATCACATCTGTGCTGTGGTTTATATTATTTTACCGTCTGACATGAGAAACCACATGCCAGCGAACATAAGTGGCCTGGTGTCTCACGTATCTTAATTTTACAATTCACAAAAAAAGGAATGTGCATCTGTTTCTTACATCGACCAAGCGATTTGTCTGTGTACTCGTAGGCTTGCCTGAATCTGTCTTATAAATGTGTTCTGTCTGTGATTTCAGTCCTTTGGCCAGTGTTTATTGTTCAAGGTGACTTCAGTTGGAGTGTTTTTATTTGCGTGTGTGGATTATAGCCATTTGTGTTCTTTATGAAAGGCATACCAGTAAAGATTTATTCTTGTTCCATCTCTGTTTCTTGTCCAAGAATCATTGGTGTTAGAATATATTTACATGACTTATTGTTTAAAACCCACCAATTATGCAGAGTTCAATAAAATATATATTTTGGTCATTGAAGTCTATGCTACACAACCGCTGGCAAAATAGTGTAAAGAGACACTTCGCTAAGGGAATACATAGGACTTAGACCATTAAATCACAGTATCATCATTAATTTAAAGTCACTTCAGCTTCAACATTAGCTAAATTGCCCCAGACAAAACTGAGGCTGAAGGGAACGTAAGTAGTTTTGCAAGTATGAAGTAATAAACCAAAGTATTTGACAAATTCAAAGCTCGACCTGATGATGGTGCTATGATGAAAGGTCAGGTTATCACCAGAGTTAGTACAATTCATCCTGTGGTGAACATGACAAAATGTGTCTAGCCAAATGTCATAGCTAAGACATAAAATTGACATAACTAACATGTAGATTGATGTAAAACAATGCGTGTTGATAAATGGGGAATGTAATAAGCTTAAGTGTCCAAGGACTGTTCAGGAGAGAGTGGGTGGAGGCAGATAATAATGGGTTAAAGCATCCACACACAGTATTGCTTAAGTGCACAGGAAAATAAACTGAAATGTATCAATGGTTTCAGTTGAATGTGTACAGCTAAAGAGAGGTGAAAGTGGGAAATCCGCTGTAGCACCCGGACACGACAGACCCTCTCATAACCCCACAGAGAGGAACAAGGACATGAGGAAACAAGACAGAGAAAGGGGTTGGAGTTACGAGAGCGAAGAAGAGGATATGGGTTAGGTGGGTATTTATGAAAATGCCGGGAGTGGCATGATTGAGGCGTGGTCCTGCTCCTGAAACTCCAAATAAATGATCCAGTGGCAAGTCTTTCACATGAAGTGAGGAATGTTGTTGGGCTACTTGCTACAGGGTGGGACAGACAGGTTGAAACTGTTGTCTCACTGCAGAGTCAAAATAAATTTCTTATTACACTACATCAAAGCAGTTATGGGGCCAAGAATTCTTGTGTGTGTGATCCTGCTCCCAGCTGTATGGGGTGAGTTTTTCAATCTGTTTGGTATTAATAAGGTGATTCTCAGTGTGGCCATTGGTAATTACACTTGTTTTGAGATTGTATGTACCTGTGTTTAACATAAAAGAAACAACTGAAAGTTTAGCTGTTAATCTTACTAGTTCATGTTCTGTAACTTAATGTCTCACCTTCACTACTCTTCACCATGCCATTGTGTTTTATATGTCACAGCTGGTTACTGTAGCAGCTATTGGGACACAGATGGTTTCTTCTATGAAACTCAGCAATGTCGCACTGAGTTCTGCTGTGGACGATGTAACAATAAATACTGCTGCAGTGAAAAGAAATACCATCTAACTCTAGAACAACAAGAAGCCTGTCTTGCAAGGTGAGCCTGATTTGTACCTGTGTTTCACTCTCCATGATACAAAGACACTTACAGGATGAGAAACAATCAGGATTTTAAGAAAGGCAATGGTTTTTATCACTTATTAAATTTGTCTTTCCTTTCCTAGCAATCCGAAAAAAAGCAACCTTGCTGTGCTTCTGGGAAGCATCTTAGGGTGTGTTATCCCCATTGTCCTATGTGTGGCTCTCGTCATCTGCTTTGTGGCTCCTTGCTGCTTGCTCTACAAAAAGTTTCGAAAAGGACCTGACCAAAGGAACCGAAGTAGGACACATTTTTGCTTACAGTTTAGCTTGCGCAAGCCAAAAAGAGTGTTTGTGAAAGTCCAAAGTTTGTTCAAAAATACGCATATTTCCTTTCTTGCTGAGAGTTACATGAAAAGATTAATACCTGTCACACTTGCAAGCAGGGTAGTAGGAACACAAGGGATTGAAACCAAATGCCTGCACCTGAGGAAGAGCAGGTGCAGTTCAAAGATTTAATGACAAAATCAAAAGGTGCCAGGCTTACAGGGACTATGAGGAAGGCAAACATCGAGTCCAGAGAAAGTAGTCTGCAATAGGTAAACAAAGCTAAAGGAGCAGGCAAAATCCCAAAACGTTCAAAAGTTCAAGAAAACAATGATTCAAAACACAGAGACCTAAAAGGCTGGAATGCTTGATACATGGACCATGATGAGATACAGTTGATACTGGGGATACTAGTGGAGGAAGGATAATGAGGGTGAAACTAATCAAAGCAGACAAACACACACAGAAAAGGGCAGGAAATGATGTTAACCATGAAACATGGGGATGGGTGAGAATACAGAATATATAGATATCTCTATTTGTCTATCTATCTACCTATATTTACATTTATTCATTTAGCTGACGCTTTTATCCAAAGCAACTTACAATTGCTATATGTCAGAGGTCGCATGCCTCTGGAGCAACTAGGGGTTAAGTGTCTTGCTCAGGGACACAATGGTGGATGTCTCACAGTAGGAACTGAACCCAGGTCTCCCACACCAAAGGCAAGCATCTTATCTATGCACTACCACCAGATATAATCTAAACTGAAACCCAAAACCATAACAGATGCCACTTTCATGTCTGTATGCTAAGCTAAATATGAAGTTACCGCCAGGAGCCCACTAGTCCCACTAACTGTGGGACTAGTGGGCTCCTGCGACTGGAAACAGGGAGAAAGGTCTATCATCAGTCTGGCAGACTACATGACCCACCCACTTTACTACACAACACACCCCTGAGATAACTTCCTGGATTAAAAAACATATTTTAACCCAAACTATAATCTTTTCTTAAACCTAACCAAGGAGGTTTGGTGCCTAAACCTAACCATGTACACCTAACCAAACTGCAACTACTTTCAAGGGCGTGTCAGCTGTGTCCTGAAGTACTATGCAGCTACCTACTTGGAAACAAAGGCAAACATCTATCCTGGCTCTGTCCAAAGGTAAAAAAACAACTGCCTAGCAGCACCTCTGAAGCTCACTAATTAACACATTGTATCTTGTTTGTTTAACTTTCTAGAATCTCCACTGATTGCCTGGCAACTGGTCATGACCAAGAACTATGCCATAGCGAGCTGTTCTGATTTTGTACGGATTAAAAAAGTCATGATCCAATGTGGAAAGTAGTCAGCTTTAAAGGTGCTGGTACGCATATTTTGTTATCTTTGGACAGAGCCTGCCAACTCTCAGCAAGAAAGCAAAAAGTGTTCAGCATTTTTCCCAAAATGTGACCCTTCCCTTTTTAAAAAAAACGTATCTTTTGTTTCACAGTATCCTCGACATATCAGTGGATTAAATGTTGTCAATTTGTTTCAGTTGGCAAACAAATGACAGAATACTGGTTACCGTATTTTCAAACCAAACTCAATCTATGACTTTACACCTACCTGTAGCTGTGAGAAACTCCACCACAGTAGTCAACTCAGCCCAGCAGCCACTCTCCCCCTTCGGATATCAGCCTGGATATGAAGTCCCTACAGCACCACCACCCTCATACTTGGAAGCTAGTGAGTAGCAGGCTTGCTTGTTGTCATCCAGTTTCCAATCTGATCCACCTGTTCAAAAAAAGAGGATGCTATGTTTGTTTTGTGATTAACTATATATTTAAATGGTCTGGTTCCCATTAAAAAATCTATATTGTTAGGTAGCATTTTCTGACAGCAGTAATCACCTTTAAAGAATAAGTCTGGTGATATTCTGTATCTTTTTAATCAACAAAGTCAACAAGTAGTTGTGTGCATGGCTACCTAAAGTCTGATAGGCCATCTTATTCATCTGTGCCATAGAGCTCCATTGTACAAAACCATTTCATTTGCAATGTTAGAGGAGTTATTGGGGCCCTTGTTGTCCCTGGTTCCAGGGGTTTGAATCCATTTATTGACAATTTTACGTTGGAGCATTTCTACAGCTTAGATTGCCATGAAACTCTCCTGATTAAATCATCAGTATAGGCCTAGGCTTTGGTAACTTTTGAGTCAATACACCGTTTTGAGTCAGTACACCATCTTGCTGCTGTAAACACTCACTGAAAATAGTACCCATCAAGTTCAGTATTTACTCCTGATAAAATAATGTTTGCTCTAAAAATGATGTGCCCAGGTATTTTAGGAAGTTATTTAGACTATACGATATGGACCTATATATTGTTGACATGTTTTTCAAGATCTTCAGTAGAAAAAAATAGGCTTTGGGCAGTAACAACAAACCAAATATTTATTTTTGTCTTTTCAGCTGCTCTAGATCACACTCAAGCTGCATTTACTCCAGGGCACCACTTCCTCAGCCAGCCTTATGCACTGCCACAACATCCCGGCGGACCTGCACAGCTGCCCTATAACCCCTCCTATGGCCCAAACCCTTAAACTGGAGCTTACTAAACCAAAACACGGCATGTTTTCAAACCCTATAGTTGCACCACTATTCTCATGGGAAATGTGTGCATTGCATTGTGTTGATACAATGGAAACCCCTTTGCAGGACTTAAACATATCATCATCTACATTTTCACGGTAATGTGTCTCTAATTTGAACTGCTAAAAGTGATTGCTAAATCTTGTTGCTGTTGCTGTTTTTATGGATAACCAAGAGCTTGTTATGGCCATTTGTTTAGCAGTATCCAATCTGAAAATATGACCACTTTTAATGCTGAAAATTGCTGAAGGAGGAGATAAATGCAATTATTTCAGGAGATGTAAATTACTAATACCTTAAAACACTATAAAAAAATGCTTATTTGTAAATAAACTCCAGCCACCAGAGGCCGCCACTGCCCCACTTTTATTTTTTTATTTTGTAGAGAAAAGAAACAGTGGGACACTGTATGCTGCTACCAAGTTATTATCAAGCATATTGTCTTACATGCAAGACTAAGAAAAAGCTATGAGTCTGTTTTGTCACATTTTGATTAGGCATACTTCTCGCAGAGATCAAGGATTAAAATCACAGGTGCTTGATTTTAATCACTCAATGTGCAGCATTCATGGTTGGATGTCCTGTTTATTTTTCAGGGATGAATGAAGAGGTGGATAGACTCTGTAGAGGTCTGTAATATTAGTCTGGTCCTTGAGGGGGTTCCAGGGGGCCCCAACAAAAAGGGGAATAATTTATTTTAACTTTAATTCCATCCATGAGTTTGGTCAAGTGTTTCATATACTGTACTTAATGTAATAAAACATCTAATAGCAAAAATCTAGGAAAAAATGTAATAAAATAGTGGTCTGTGGTCTAATTTGTGTCAGCTGACGTGAAAAAGTTTGAGAACCACTGCAATAGAGAAACACTGGATCACCCTGGGTAATTACTCTTATAAAACTTTTCAAAAAGTTCTTGCACAGTGAATCTATGGTACCACAGCACTAATGTAAGCAAACAGGTCTGATAACACTACCGACGCTCTCTTTGTTGTGTAACCTACAGCATCTCCAGAGATAATAAAATGCAATTCTTTGCTTTTTTCAGTCCAAGTTAGTACATTTAGTCTCGTTCAGGGAGACTTGGATTATTAAAACTTACTTTTCATCCTGTCATACACCCTGAGCTCAATTTGTTTTTAGTAGTTTAAGAAACTGGTGCAGTGATAAAAAAATAATATGTTGATAATGTGTGTGGTGATTATAACTTGTTTATGGTAATTTTGTAATGTTTTCTTTGACTATTGAAAAACTACGGATTAAGACTTTCGATGATATGTCCGCCTCTCCTGTTGACTTTGTAGCATCTGTTAGGACAGGACAACATGTTGTCTGTTATCTGCCAACTGTGTTCTAGCACTGCAAATACAGTGATACAGCAATCTGAAAAAGCATTCACTTAACTACTGTATTACTGATGTTTTGTTCTTTTCACAAAGTTTTCTTTACTTATCACATAACAATCACATAGGGGGGCTGTGGCTCAGGAGGTAGAGCGGGTTGGCCATTAATCGGAAGGTCGGCGGTTCAATCCCTGGTTGCGTGTCGAAGTGTCCTTGGGCAAGATACTGAACCCCGAATTGCAAGTGTGAATGTTAGTTTCCGTTTGAGCACTTAGGCTCAGTATGAATGTGTGTGACTGGTGAATGCAGATGTAGAGTGGTTGAAAAGACTAGAAAGGCGCTATACAAGTACGGAGCATTTACATACAAAGCCTTCTAATACACAAAGTAACATCGTACATATGAATGACGATGTAGAACTCGAATCATGACAAAATCACAACATTTGCTACTGAGCTTACATGAAATTGGTGCTGACAAAGGTAAACTAATACGGAAACTACAGTACACAAAACAAGTAAACTTACCATGTAATTTCTATAATAATTGTTCAAGAATACACTTAGACATTTAAAATAAAATAAATGTGCTGATGATGCTGCCACAGATTTAGACAGAAGTAGATGGATGTAGATAGTGCCAACCACACTACTGTCTCTGAGGCAGAAAAACTAACTTCCTGACCAAAGTCACATGGTATGTGCATGTGAGCAAATAATTAGGAACAGCCACTAAGAGGTGCTGTACCTACAGTCTCCCATTCCCAATCTCCACACTCACAGACTCAGACTTTGAGGCATGTTCCCGGTAAATCCACTTAGTGCTGTCCCACTATCAAATCAAGTGCATGAGGGCAATCTCATAGACCTTTTGAGTTCTTTATGCACACTTTATGTAAGTCTGCATCTCTGCAGACTTTGCCTGGTGGAGTAACCCACAGGTCATGGTGTTGTGCACGCCATATTTAGGATATTTTCAGCTCTTTAATTTGCCGTCAGACAGCCATTTTCTTTGTAACCACATTTTTTCAATTGCAGAACTTCCGTATCCCTGCACACAAGAGCAACTTGGCTGTGCACAGTATAAAGGAAAATGGCTGTGTGATGGGGACAGAAGCACTGAAAAGCAGCTGTACAATTGCTTACCTTACATGCTGGTACAACTCTTTACTTCTCCAAACTGGTGACGCGCTGATCACCACCTACTGCAGGTTATGCAGTAAAGCCCAAACCCACAATAAACAAGTGCTGTCCCATTATACCATTTCGAGCACTTATAAGTTAAGTGATGTAAACTAAATCTGTTAGGGTTACGGTGGAGACTGGGATTGGGCTGACCTATCAACCACTGTGACATAACACTTTTTGTTTCTAACAATGCATCAAGGCACTACTAGCTTGCTTCTTGAACCCTCTGACAATGAAATAAGTGCTTGTGATAAAATCCATAATGTTGTAACCAATTGTTATTACCCACAGTTTGACAAATCCACTGTGTTCAGTTTAGCCTCTTCCTGTGGGATCATGTGCAGTTAAATTGCCTTAGTGGGTGGGTTTGCATTTAATCCCATAATAACCAGCACCACTCCTTCTTATAGCATCCCGCGGAATCCATTAATCAATACAGTAATAGTGCTGACTACGGCTTTCTCAGTCATCAAAGTGACGGGGGGCTATAACAGGAAATATGACCCTGCCTGTAAATGCTAATCCCTGCTTGCCGTTTAAAATAAGATCTCTCCTTGAAGTGTGGCTCAGACTGCTAATGAGTACTTGTGTAGAGATGCCATGTCATGGACAATGTGGCGGATAATCTTTAATAGCCAGAAATCTCGAGTGTTCTCTTCCTCTCCGTCCCTCTCTTCTTCTTTCGTTCCCTTTCTTCCATCCTTCCCTCTGACTGTGCTTTGTTCTGTCTGAAGGCATTCTTGTCTGGCCTCCTGCCCGATCTGCCATTAAGACTTTTCAGCATTTTCTCAACATCCCACACCATTCCTTTCTTCTTTCTCCCTTTCTTCTGCTCTGTGGAATCATTCTTGGTATTTGTGTCTCAAACTGGAAAACAGACATGGGTCACACTATGTTACTGGATATCAGAAATCAACCTTTTGATCAGGTTTTAGATAATTATTCAGGACTCTGTACTAAGCCAGTGAGCTATGTGTGGGAGCAACTGCGGACCAACTCCCCAATGCGTGCTCTAGTTCTGGCCAAGATGCTCCAAAGAGATACAGGCAAGCCAAACTTTCCCACATGCATGGAAACACAAACAGACTTGACAGCATTATTTGTGTTTCTATATTTTTAAATATGTTCCATCACAAAGTGATAAAAGTTCTCCAACATTATTTATATTCTGATATTTTTATATATTTTCCATTGCAAGAGATAAGTGCAAACACATTTCCAGTGAAAATACAAAACTGTTCAGTTTTGTTGTTATTATCCAGACTGAAATTTCTCATCCATCTATCCATCCAACATCATGAACTATTGAATGCATTGCCATTACATGTTATACAGATGTAATGGCATGGTCCCCAGAGGAGTCTTCCAACTTTGGCGCTCCTTTGACTTTTTTTTAGAGCAACCAGCAGGGCGACATATTTAATTTTTAGTAAAATGTCTCGACAACAATTGGATGTGTTACCATGAAACTTGGTATGGACGTTCATGTTCCCCTTTAGGATGAATTGTAATTATTTTGGTGATCTCATGACAGAGAGGTGTTTCTATTATTTAGCCTATATGGGCTGAACAAAATAATACAAACACCTGTTAGTATAGAGCGATACAATTCTTACAGTTGAATCAGCACCTCTCTAAAAACCAACCCTTATAACCTTCATGAAAGTAGGATTTATGGGAAGACTGCTGTATTGGACTGCATTAGTTTTAGCTTGGCGTACATAATTAAAAAAAACAAAAGCTCATCAGCTCTTTTTTTTTTTTAATACCACATAAGGGCAGCAGGGGGCAGACAGTGTTTGACGCAAAGCTGATTCATTATGCCAGCCAGATCACATGAGAGGAATTCAGCCTCATCCCATCAGGAACCCAGATGTGTGTTAAGACATTGATGAAAATTCCCAGATACAGTAATCTTAGGTCACTTTTAAGGTTCAAGTTTAATTAAGGAGATTACCTACCTCTTTAACAAAGCTAAAGTGAACTTCTCCACTGAATACTCAGGCAATAAAATTACGCTAACCAAAATGAGTAAAGTAGAGGCTTTCTGTATGAAAACAAACCATCTAAAATTGAGGATATACTTAATAACTATAACCTATTGAACGGTATGTAAGTTCTATAAACTTTATGGAGGGGCTGCTGGCAAACAGTGATACTATTAGACAAAAATGGGTATGAGTACACTTATACAGTTGAATGCAATCCAATACAACAGCTCTGCTACATACATTTTTATGATGCATGTAATGATGCCTGCAATGTCACAGATGTGTTGATTAAAAAAACAAATGTTTTCATCCCAAATCACATCAATCCATCCAAACTGGGAAGGTGAAATACAAAAACTGCAAGTCCTTCCTCAGGATCAAGTAGTTCATTCTCGTGTTGATGTCGTGTGCAACTGTTGTGTATGAGGTTTATTGAGTGGAACAGTTGAGGTGAAACATTGACAGCTGCACACAGAATGACTCAAGAGAAACAGAAATCAGCTGGTTAAAACAGCAGCTGTGGGTGAGAGGGCATAACTGAGGTGGGCTAGCATTGTGTCACTTGTGTGAGCTACTTGCTGGAAAATGTATGGAGACTCACTGCGGTAAAACATATTCATATTAGGGAATAAATGTGCTTTGTTGGAGTCCCACAATATCAATAATTATGTCTCTGTGAACATTGCTCTGTAACAGCACAAGTTTCCTGGGTCACTGTGCACATTTCGGCCCCTTTTGTCTCCCAGATTCATTCCAGATCGCTGCCACCAGAAGTCAGACATCAGGGCTTTCAAGCTCTGAGTGAGAAAAAAACCCTTTAGATTTCTCTTTCCACATTGTAACTCCTGTTTTTCCCTTTTATGTTCCTCACATCTACATGCACCTGCGCTAACGAGTGGCCACAGAAAGAAGCAGTTTGGACCGTGTGAACCCAACAGATAAAACAGTCTGCTGTCTTTTCACCCTCTCTCTTTCTCTATTCAATAGCCTCCAAGTGTCTTGACAACCTTGCCTGGTATTTTGGCAGCAGTCCCTTGAGTGTTGATGTCAGCTGAGTGAGGGGAGGGAGGGTGGTGGAGGGACTGAGGGGAGGGGGAGGAGTGAGCGGGCTATTCAAGGCACTTGTCCTCTGTCTCCCTCTGAGCATAGAGGAGGGGGAGGCGCACATGCATTGAGGGAAACACAGACACATATACTAGTAGCGGCCACATTTTCACAGCTTGCTCTTCAGACTGACAGCAGCAAACGGAGTTAAGCACGATAGAGCAAGCGAGGAAGAGAAAGAGGACTGGAAACAAGGGAGGCATCAGTGGAGAGGACAGGAGAGGAGACTATTCAGGATTTGACCCTTTTTTTCTCTCGGGGAGCCATAATCTCCCCTGTACTCTTCTTGAACTGAACTTGCTCTGCACCTTGCTATGGCAGCCCCGGTGGGACATGGGAGCCCTGTCTCCCTCTCATCTTCTTCCTCTCATCCTTGGACTACCCTGCTCTGGGCTCTGTTGACCCTTTTAAGCCAAGTGT